CTGGACTGACCTATCCCCTTCCTAACTCCCTACCTACACTCACCTTTACTGGCTCCATCCCCGCCTCTTCGACCTGTTTGTTTCCTCTCCACCTATCCTCTCCTCTATCCCTCTTCTATCCGCCTCCCACTCTCTCCCTATTTATTTCAAAACCCCCTTCCCCTCCCCCTTTTCTGATGAAGGGTCTAGGCCCGAAACGTCAGCCTCTCTGCTCCTATGATGCTGCTTGGCCTGCTGTGTTCATCCAGCCCTGCACCTTGTTGTCTCGGATTCTCCAGCATCTGCAGTTCCTACTATCTCCAAGCCTATATGTAGTTGTAATTGTGATTTTCCCCACATGACCTGTGACATGGAAACAACTTCAATGAATTTCAAAGAAATAATAACTCACGCAGGGTTTATAAGAAGATTTAACAAATAGAAGGAGTTAATAAGTCTCAATTTAGCCATTCTAATCATAAAATGGGAACAAAAATGTTTAATTTTGGAGTTCTTCATCCTGGAGTACCTGAAAGATGCCCCATACAATATTGTTATTGAGTCATCATGGTGGCCATCTGCAAAGTGCTTTTGGCCCTTGAATCTGTTAATGAGGGACCTAATGTTTGTTCCATCTCTCAGAAATTGGTCTTTCCAGTTTCCTTCATTCAAAACCTTCTCGGGTCCTGTAATTGCTGCACAGGATAATGTGAGCTGCTGGGATACCTCTCTCTTCCTTGTCAGTTACCACCTCCTCTGGTTTAACAACTGGCCCAAATTTGTTCAAAAAAAAAACTTCTGCACAGCACCCCAGGACCCACCAGCACGTCACAGGAGCTAGGTGATAAGACCCAAGTTAAAATGAGACTCAGTATCTCGTATGTACTGCAGTGCGTCAGTCATTCCAGTGATGAGGATGAGACTAGACATCCAACGACCCCAGACTCACTCTTACCAATGGCATGTATGATCTAACTCCAGAGCATACTGCTATCAGGCTTCTCTTACACACCCTGTGACACATCCCTGACACTTGACTTGTACGAAGTATTACTCCAATGTGACAGCAACTGGCTATAGAAGGTAATCAGTACCAGACTCAGTTCGACCAGCTTCTTCCCAAAATGATAGTGGGACAGCAGAGCTTGCAATAACAGAGTTGTAGCCAGCAGCCAATTCCCTTCTGCAGCTACCCAACTGAGAGCCATAACAAAGTGGAGCAGAGCCTTTGTGATACTGTCAGCACCTTTATTACAATGGGTACTTCTTTAAAACCCCATCTCATGCTATTCTACCTTTTCTATACCATCCTTCTCATGCCATGCCCGTATATTCCTCACATTTCTCTCCTATCAGTTCCATCCCATTCCCCATCGCATGTATTTCCCTATGCTATTCCCATCCCCTATTTCATATGTCATAGGCCTGCCTTCGTCCTCTTATCCTTAACTTCCATTCCATACCTCCCGTGCATTCCTCCTCCTCCCAAGCTGCCCACCTCCCATATACATTCACCTCCTCAAGTCATCTCCCATTCCTAGCTACCACCATGATCACTTTCCCATGCTGTCCCCCTCCTATGTTATTTCCACGCACAAAGGTCTCCCCAACCTCCCATGCCATCTTCCCCACCCCAAACTCTACGCCCATTTAGGGCAAAAAACAGAGATTTAATTCTTCTCCTATCCAAATGAAATCCCTCTGGATGGTTACAATAACAACTTGGAGAGTGTTTCTGTCAGCCTATGCCTTGTTTAATATTTTGAAGTAATATATACCCAATAGTTGTCTTTAGACTGTAAGTTATTATTAATTCATGTACTGTGAGCTCCACTATTAAACCATGTGAAAAATAACAATGCTACTTCAATCTTTTCTCCAGATCCTTGTTTAGCAAATCCTTGTGAGAATGAGGGTACCTGTGAAACGAAAGGCCAAACGTTCAAGTGTCATTGTCATCCATTTTATACAGGAAAGACATGTCAATTAGGTAACAATCTTTCTAAACAGTGTCTTTCATCATTAATTTATTGACAATTTGTAATGTTTAACAAGCAATAGTGTTAAAATGAAAAGCAACACATAACTACTAAGTTTAAAACAATGAACTAACCAGAAATCAACTGGAATGAAATCCATGAATTAATTCAGCCCAGGATACTGTACCTTTCTCCAATTTTATTGCTATCATTCGATAATGTATTCTTCCTATACTGCAACCCAAATCACATTGGGTAACATGAATCCTTGGTGTTTTCCTCTTTGTTTCTTTCTTCCAGGAGGGCAAAATATCTGCTTAACATGCTGAATAAATAAATTTAGAATGTATTTTAATGCATTTGAATCAATATTTTATTAAGTCACAATCAAATTTGCATGTGCTGTGTACAATGCCATGTATAAATGTAAAGAAAAACCTTCCTCACTAATGGTAATGGCAACTTTTAGAAGCCTTATGTTCTGAATGATTTGGAGGTTTTGTGCACAGATCTTTGAAGGTGACAGGACAGATCGCCAAAAGCATTTCGTATAACATATGGTGGCATATTGATATATTAGCTATATTGGCAAAGACCCCATGCTTTATAAATAGAAACATAGAGTACCAAAACCAGGAATTGAAGTTAAACTTGTATAAAACCATAGTTTGTCCTCAGCTAGACTGTTGTGTTATTTTCTGGGCATCGAACTACAGGAATGATGTATAGGCTTTGAAGTGGACACAGAAGAGATTTTCCAGGTCATTTCCAGGGATAAGATTTACTGTTATGTGGAGAAGTTGAGATCAGACTCCTTAGAGCAGAGAAGAGCAAGAGGTGATTTGATAAAGGCATTTGAAATTATGACAGGTTTAGGTTGAGTAAATAAGGAGAAATTATTGGGCAAACTATCACGAATTAGGGACACTGTTTTAATATAGAGGACTGCTCTTTTTGGATAGAATGGAGGAGACTTTTTTTCTCTCTCTCTGACAGCTATGTAACTTGGAACTCTGGCTCAGAGGTGCTGCAGGCATGGTAATTAAATATTTTTAAGGCAGAGATAGGCACACTTTGTTAGGCAAGGGAATCATCGATTATTGGAATTGATAAGAATGTGCAATTCAAAATAAGAACAGATCAGCCATGATTCTACTGAATGGCAGCACACTTTTAAGGGACCAACTGGTCTAATTCCACTGTTATTTCTGAAATTCTCATGACACGAGGAAAAGCAGTTTTATGTGACACATGGTTAGCATTTGGAATCATAGATCTTTGGATTTAATCTTAATTATGAAAACAGAATGGACAAATACTTGAAAAGAAAAAAAGAAACAGAGATTCAGGAATGGTTGGCAGTGTGGGATGAACTAAAGTGCTCTTGGGAAGGGACAGAGTACAAATGATTGGATGAATAATCCTTCGGAACTGTAAAGTTCTATGAGTCCAAAATTGTCCTTTATAAAATAGGGATTATTTCTTTCTCACGTTACCAATTTTAGGAAAATTAGAAACATGCTTACAAAGGCATATAGTCCAAAGATATTTGCCTATGATCTGAGAGTTCTTATCCCTCCAAAAGTGGGTTAGTAAATATTAGTGAAAAAGTAGTCCACCCATTTTGTGTATTAAAGCTTTATAGACGTCATCATGCATAGTCTTGTCACAATTCTTAAGTACCATAATGAAATCAATAATTAGCCAGGGCACTTTTCTATTTACAAGAGGGAAGATATTGACTTATCGGACATTGTTAAAAAAAGGTGCAGAGATATCCTGCCAAGTTCCTGGGTGCCATGGCAAATGCTGGGGATATCACTGTGGAGCAGCAAGAGGCAAGTAGCTACAGAAAGCACGGAAGATGCTTGATTCACTACTTCAAATAATAGTGAATCTGCCTCCAGAGAGTCAACTCTCTGGACACGTTCTGCTTGCAAGTCCTAAAATGTTGTGAGAATTTGTGAATGAGATGTGTGACTTTCTCCACAACAACAAATGAGGACCATCTGGAAGCAGCTTTGCACTTTCTGTCACAATAAAGATCAAAGTCAGAAGCCACACAATACCAGGTTAGAATTGAGCAGATTTATTTGAAAGCAGAAGCTTTCCAAACGCTGCTCCGTCATCAGGCCACTTCACCTGATGAAGGGGCAGCACTCTAAAAGCTTGTGATTTCAACCTGTTGGACTATAACCTGGTGTCGTGTGACTTCTGACTTTGCCCACCCTAGTCCAACACCGGTACCTCCACATCACAGTGAAGATCCTCAGCCTCCAATATATCAAGTTTCCAGACATTCCCAAGAAACTTTACTGTATTCAGGCAGTTTGCCTTTTAGACAACAGACATTGCTGTGCACCATAAGTGCACTGTATATATTGGAGAATAAACTAAAACTAATTACGTTATTAAGAGAAAATCAAATTTTCAGAAGTTGTCTATTTTAAAACTGCAAGAGCCTATGATTTTGTTATGGAATTCGGGCAGTTCTCCAACTTTTGAATTCAGAGAGCAACATTGTTCCTGATACACTTCAACACATCTTGAACAAATGGTATTGATTTTTATTGCATAACATTGATGATTGAGTTTGTGTTTTTTGACTTTCTTTGTACGAAAAAATGTAGGCAGCAGTACTTCAAACTTTGCCCATGTGCCACAGAAACAAATTTGTGAAACAATGTTCAAGGTTATTTTATTTGTTTAGTTTATTTTCCCAGACCTCCAATAACTTGCTCCTAGCTTGTATGTTATTGGAGCAGAAAGTAACCAAATCTAGCCGAGCAGGCCTAGCAGGTATCGCACCGTATGTTACCAAACCCACCTCATTAATTACCTACCACACTCCTATGGTGCCCCTCAAGGCCACATTCTGGCCCCATTTTACCACAAACCATTCCTAGAAAAGCCCACCAACTCAGCGGATATCCACTTAAAGACTATCAACCCTTGTGCTCACACCATCTTCAGAAACCTGTGGTACACTTGGACAAGCACTATCAGCCTGAAGCTCCCCTGCAAGGTTCCTGAGATTTGCCCCACACATGGTAGACAGGGGGATATCATTGCTCCCACTTTGTGAGCAGAGTCCAGGAGGTCCTGCCAGATGGAGTGGTGAGACACAGGATTTCCTCCTCCCCCATGCCAGACTGGTTCAAGGTTGTCATCCAGGTTAAAACTGACTCCGTTTTCTAAAGGAATGCCCAGCACTGTAGGAAGGTGAATGTCCTTCATCAATCTGTCCAGGTACATGCCATCACCTTCTCTTTGATACCTCACACTCGCTATCTCTGCTGCTGTACCCACCTACCACCAAGGCTCGTGCTCTACCACTGTCACTATTGCCTGCAAAAACTTCTACACTCACACTCACCTATCCTGAACCCCTGACACCACTAATCTTGCATGCCTTTGCAATACCCACTCACTCACTTGGGACACATCCCTCTCTGCGCCAAAAGTAAAAGCTGTGGTAACCACTTTCATCTGCCTCTCTCTCATTCCAGGAGGAAAACAGCCCCCAATGGAGCAGAAACAGTCAAAGTGGGTGATTCAGCTCCCCATCCTTTATGAGGACAGGATTGTGACCCTGAACAACCCGAGCAGATCCTGGACCGATAGCTGATGGTGTCCTTGGCTTACTGTGCTGGACTCCTTGAGCAAAGCTTAACCCCATAACTTGACTGAGACCTGCCGACAACAATGGCAAGGCTTTGTGTCTGTAGCAAATGGCACAGCAAGGCAGCAGTATTATGAAATGGGTATCTCTAGCTGAAGGGGCAAAGTGCACAAAGGTGATGTAAGGCAGTGTTGCTATGAGCATCCAGGTAGGTTCAGAGTGGGTGAGCACCATGTCAGTGAGCGAACAGCCTTCAGCACAATGTAGTTGTTGCAGCATTACAATGACCATTGCTGGAGCACCCAAGGTGTAACACTGAAGTGTGGAAATGTCCTACAAGTGGATTGGACATTGGTCATGAGAGTGGTGTATGGCAGCTGCCAATGTTTATGGACGTGAGGTGTATGTGGCTGATATCCATGGAGTGTTCCTTGATTGTTGCTGCTCAATGGCCAAAATGGAAATTGTTCAGAGCAAGTGGTAAGCTGAATCCTGACATTGAGCTTGTTTGGCGGGTCTGGTAAGACGAGAGGATCTGAATTAGTGAGGCAAGTTGGGGCATCAACAAGATGTTTAATCAGCAATAATGAGCAACAATTGGCATCTTGCCATGTAGTTTGTGTGAAAAAGCATAAAAGGTGAAGCAAGTTACTCCAGACATCAAAGTCAGCCTGGCTGGACTTGTCACTCTATTCTATCAAAAATCTCACCATAGCTCATTGCACGGAAATTATGTTTTTGATGATTTGCATTGCTTTCAAAGCTTTCAATTTTTAAAAATTGTTTTACAACTTTTGAAGTGACAGGAAAACATTTCTCTGTTGTTATTGTTCAGAATCAACAATTAAGGGCAGCACGGTGGCTCAGTGGTTAGCACTGCTGCCTCACAGCGCCAGGGACCTGGGTTCAATTCCACCCTCAGGCGACTGTCTGTGTAGAGTTCGCACATTCTCCCCATGTCGGCGTGGGTCCCCTCCGGGTGTTCCGGTTTCCTCCCACAGTCCAAAGATGTGCAGGCTAGGTGGATTGGCCATGCTAAATTGTCCGTAGTGTTCAAGGATTTGTAGATTAGGTGGGTTAAGGGGGATGGGTCTGGGTGGGTCTGTGTGGACTTGTTGGGCCGAAGGGCTTCTTTCCGTACTGTAGGGATTCTATGAACAAAAAAAATCGGACAATATTCATGATTCCTACATCGCATTTCACTAATTCCATAGCGGAAGGTGATGGCCTAGTGGTATTATCACTGGTCTGTTAATCCAGAGACCCAGGTAATGTTCTGGGGACCAGGGTTTGAATCCTGCCGCAACAGATGCTGGAATTTGAATTCAATGTAGAAAAAGAAAATCTGGAATCAAGAGTCTAATGATGACCAGGAAACCATTGTTGATTGTTGGAAAATCCCACCTGGTTCACTAATGCCCTTTAGAGAGGGAAACTGCCATTGTCACATGGTCTGGCCTACATTGACTCCAGACTCACAGCAATGTGGTTGACTCTTAACTGCCCTCTGGGCAATTAGGGACAGGCAATAAATGCTAGCCTAGCCTGTGACACCCCTCATTCTGTGAATGAATTAAAAAATAACCCAGTGGTGATTTCTTGCTTGTTTCTATTTTGGATGTTGTAGGGCATAATGGGGATGTGAAAGGTGCTACATAAATTCAAATTCTTTCTGGTTTGTAACTCCTAGCAGCTAGACACATGTTGAAACAATGTTCTTTAAATTGCAGTGAACAATCCCTGTCGGAGGAATACATGCAAGCATGGAGAGTGTGTTCTAACCACTAACCCACCATACTACAAGTGCAAGTGCAACTATCCATTCAAACCACCAAGCTGTAAAAAAGGTATGGTAGCCGTTCCTACTTTTCAATGTGATATACCCTTTTATAGAGCTTTGTCAAATGTGGTCAAGAAATCTGTCAAAGTCAAAAGGACATTGCTTAAAAACCATTATCATAGAGGAGCTGATGCAGGAGTTTCCGTGATCCAGTGCTCATCTTACAGATAACTTCACTCCCCACTGCTAGTGTTGGGGGATCGTGGAATCACCCCTTGCATTCAAGCAGGTAAAAGAAACATGAATAAAAGTGCTCCGAAATGGTATCAGTGAAAAAATAAAGTGGAACATCCTCGCAAAGTTTTAAAGAGAAGAAAGATAGAATGGGGTGTTGACCAAACAAGTTTAGGGTTAGGCAAAGGCCTAGTGGTACTTTTGCTAGACTATTAATCCAGAGACACAGGTAAAATTCTGGGGACTAGGGTTCGAATCCCGCCATGGCAGATGGTGTAATTTGAAATCAATAATAATCTGGAACTAAGAGTCTAATGAAGACCATGAAACCATTGCTGATTGTCAGGAAAAACCCATCTGGTTCACCAATGTTCTTTCCTTTAGGGACCCTTACCTGGTTTGGCCTACATGTGACTCCAGACCCACAGCAATATGGTTGACTCTTAACTGCCCTCTGGGCAATAAATGCTGCCTGGTCAGCAATGCCCACATCCCATGAACGAATATCAAGAAAGTGCACATCAGTCAAAATAAAAACAAATATGGCAGGCAAAAGAAAACGGAATTAATTGTAACATGAACTGTTCTTCCAAGAATATAACAACACAAACAAGAAAGGTAAAAGTCTCAGGGAGTCATTCCGGTGGGGGATGATAAATCAAAAAGTATGACACAACTAAACTCCCACAGAGTTTTTGGTAAATTTTCTCAGGAAACTTTTTCTTTTACAGAAGTAAATTATGGTTGTGAGGGGAACTGGGCCTTAAAGAAAGCAAGTGCCAACCAGAGTCCAAAATGGGCCTTTATCAAAACACCACTGCTCATAAAAGCCCCAAGCAACCACACTGAATTTTGAGAGATTCTGAAGAAGGGTCCAGACCCAAAACGTCAGCTTTCCTGCTCCTCTGATGCTGCTTGGCCTGATGTGTTCATCCAGCTCTACACCTTGTTATCTCACATTTAATTTTGCTATATCTGAAAACCTGCAGTCAAAATCAGTTAAGAAGACACTTGTGAACCAGGAGGAGTGGGAAATAGAACTTGTGTGGAACTCCTGATTCCTGCTATCCATTAGAGACTTGAGTTCATGCTGTTAGTTTCCTAAAACAACTAGTGTTGATCATCCTTGGAGGATGGTTGGGGAGTAAATGAGTTTTATCCAGGCTTGATGTGGCTCCATGAAGAAGATAAGTTTGATTTTGAAGTTCTGAAGAAAGTCTGACCTTTAGTCTGGCATTGAGCTGTAGTTATTACATACAATTAACCAGGCACCACATCCTGATTAGCATATTCAATAGGTCTAATGGTCATTTTTAATAGATGGCACAGATATTCAGATGCTTCCAGCTGACAAATCATCAGGTGGTGCACTTCCAGGGGAAGTAAGTTGTGAGAACACGACTGGAAATTGGTCCCAAAAAATCAGGCACAGTGGGGGCCAATTCCTTCTTATGTTTTTCTCTGAGTGTTTACTTCTGCTTTTATTGAAATTCAAACAGTTTCAAAGTAGAGAAGGAATTGTAGTACTTAGAGGAAATGTGGCAGTCTGAAATTAATGTTTCTTTGATGATGTAATGAAGTTTAAACAATGTTTTCCAACCACTTCCTCTTAGCAATTCGCACATGTTCGAGAAACCCTTGTAAAAATGGTGGAATTTGTAAAAGGGGCATGACTAGAAGATCTTTCTTTTGCGTCTGTCCAAAATCCTACACAGGGCGATATTGTGAAACAGGTATTAATGCTTTCTATTTATGTTCTATTTATTTCCATACTCACATATATAAAATCAACTCAGATGATTAACTAACAGTTTTAAATCGATAATTCAGAATTAGCTTTTATTGTTTGCAGCAAATACACTTCCATTAAGTTAGCTTTAACTGTACTAAATGAAATCTCTGCAATGTTGGAATGATTTCAGAAGACAGCTGAATTCCTATAATTGTGTTTTCTTTCATTGAAGATTTGTTTGATATGATTCTTTGGTTTAATACCAGGTAAATATGGAATGAACTTTTGAGCCAGGATATTGTTCACCCCCAAGGTGAATATTTGATATTACTCAATTTACATTCACCTGCATGTAACTCTAGGCTTCAACATTCTACAGATTCCAATGACTGTTATGAGGAAAATGGTGAAAATTACAGAGGCAATGTTGGTGTAACACAACAGGGGAAAGAGTGTTTATACTGGAGCTCACACTTGCTTCTAAAGAAACATATCAATATATTTGGGCCTCAAGCTGAAGAAACTGGCATTGGAGATCACAGGTTTTGCAGGTAAAAAAAATTCTGTAAATACACAGGGTGTACTTTAATGGGACTGTAAAGGTAGGAGAAAAGGAAGGTGGGACATTTATTTGTAGGTGAGATCCAAAATTTTAGTTTTGCAACATGAGTTGGAGTTATTAAAATTAGAGGCATGTCAATGGTGGAGTGGCAATCATTGTCCTGTGGCAATTATCTCAGACCCAGGCTATCACTGCAAAATATCCACCTTCAGCTGCTTCATCTGTGCACCTGCCCTCCATCAGAATTGGGGATGTTGCCCAACAATTGCACAATGTTCAGCACCAGTCATGACTTCTCAGATGCTGAAACAAGTCCGTGTTCATATGCAAAGAGACCTGGACAATATTCAGACCTGTGCCAATAAGTGACAAGTAAAAGTCACCATTGTCTTACCAGACCATAGCATTGATCTCTCACTAGAGAGACATGACTGGTGGTAGTTTAACTTGTGGGTCACCACAGCTCAGGTGCAGCATGAGTTTAAGAGGGAGAGTCCTTCATGGTAGCCTCAGCTGGTGTAGGGGTTGAACCCACACTGTTGGCATATACATCACAAAGCAGCTATCCAGCCAACTGGTGTTAAGCAACCCCCAAGAGACAAGTAACCACACAAGTGCCAGGCAATGACCAGCTCCAATGAGAGAGATCCTAACGCTCTTCCATTGACATTCAGTGGCATTACCATTGTTGCACACCCAAGCAACATCCTAGGAATTATCATCAATTAGAAACTGAACTGGACCAGCCATATAAAGACTGCAGCCACAAGAACAGATCAGATGCAAGAAATTCTGTGGCAAGTAATTCACCTCCACTCTCTCAAAAGCCTGTCCACCAACTGCAGGCCACAAATCAGGAGTGTGATGGAATGTTCTCCACTTGCCTGGATTGGTGCAGCTCCAAACACACTCAAAGAGCTCAACATAATCCAGGACAAAACACGCGCTTAATTGACAATCACTCCTTCCACAAATGACGCACCTTTGAAGTAATGTGTACCATCTAAAGAATAAACTATAAAAGGCGAACTCACTATGGCTCCTTGAACAGCACCTTGCAAATCTGTGAGCTCTATCACTTTAAAGGACAAGGGTGACAGATATATGGGAACACAAACACCTGTAAGTTCCCCTCCAAGCCACACCTCATCCTGACCTGGAACTATACTGCCATTTTTTCACTATCACTGTGTCAAAACCCCAGAACTCCCTTTCCAACAATACTGTGGTGTACCAACACCCCATGGACTGCAACAGATCAAGAAGGTAGATTAGCACCAACTACTCAATGGCAATTAGCAATAAATGCTGGCCTAACCAAAAATGTCATCATCCCATAAATGATTTTTTTAAAAATCACTAATCACGTTCATTACCCTCAAGGAGGCCAGGAAAAGTGGATCTTTATCGCATTGGATGGAGCTAGTTGACATCCCTTGAGAATACAGGCTTTGTACTGGCACATACATCACTGAAATGTTGCACAGCCATCTTTCTGCTCCTGGCATACATTGATAGGGATTGTTTGAGCAGCAAATTACTACTCGTGCTCTTAAGTGACCTTAAACAAATGGTTTGTGGAAGGCCAGCAGATACTGAAAGTAGTATTGATTTGAGAATATGAATCATAAAGACGAATATCTAAAAAATACACCAAAGTGAGATGTCTGTGAGTCCCTTCATTCAAGTAACAACTGTCAAACGTAAAGCATAACCATGCAGTATGCCCTCCAAAAGAATATGTCCCAACAAAATTGCATAATATGCACAATATCAAGTAAGTAATATGTTTTCTATCTATATATACACGCGTATAACTTTATAGTGTCTCAATGCCCATTGCCACCATTGTCTCCTCAATATATCTCATTTTTTTCTCATGCAATAGTTATGCCTTGGTGTTGCTCCAACAACAGACCAGGCAGACTGCTGAGAGTGATACCCATCTGCCTGTGCATGCCATCTGGCAGCTTTGGGGCCCCAGCCTAGTGGGGGACACCTGTAATGGTACAGAGGCACCCTCCAGGGCCTCTCCTATTCAAAGATCTGGAATCACCAGCAGAGGGGATGAGAAATGTCTACTTATCCTGGAAGTGCCCCGAGAGAACCCAAACAGGGCAGTCAGCTCTCAATCAGGAAGTAATCACATCTCTTGTATTCCTGAGGAGTTCAGGTGCCTCATGTACTTCTGACTTAGCCACTGCTGTACTGAGCCCAAGGTCAGAGTAGCAGAATGAATACATTTTGGACTTTCATCTCAATGTCAGTCAACAGCCTTTCCACAGAAAAGCATGCACCCACTTGATGAAACCATGACAGAATTCAACAAATGGATGGGTTTCTGTGCAGTCCATGCACTGTTCTATATAATCTCTGGCTCCACTGCCCGATGTTCCTGTGTATCCCTGTTTACATCTGCATCTGCAGCTGGCATATTATGATTCAGGGCTAGAGACCCACCATCAGTACAGGCGTAAACCTGGCCTGAACCACAGGAGTCCTCCCACACTTAGGAGGTGAAGCTGAGCCAGCCTGCCTCAGCTGCTGGTATCAACAAAGTGATCAACAACATGAGTTTCCGATCCTCTGTGCAACCCTTTCGAAACCTGTGTGAGTGTAATGTAATCATGCTGTTGGAGAACAAGAGAGAAAGAGATATGACAATCATTCACTGGGTGTTGTAGGTCTCAATTAGAGGTGAAATCTTCTCTTTTTCCACAATTTTGTTTGGTATTTTGTGCTCATGGCAACAAATTACAATGGAGAACACCAAGAAAGACATTAGGAACAGCTCAGTCTATCAGGATGTTTATCAGTTCTGCACATTTCTTTAATGTGTTAATATCTCGACAATATCTTGAAGGCATTCTCACTCTGTTGGCTAACTAGTCCAGCCTCCTCATCTACATCAGACTAACCCCCCTGCTCACCCATAATATCCCTACTCATAAATGTTGTCACTTTGAGTTCAACCACTCCTCCCCCATTCTTAGCCCTCCCTGGCATTGAATGTTTCCTCATCCTGTAAGAAAAAGTGGAGACTTAGTGACACTTCAAGTGACATCTAACTCCTTTGTCCTATTGCATCCCCATGCCATATACAAGTACACATTTTAACTGATACTCAGTTGCCTTATCCTACACAACTCTTACCCAGTCTGACCTCTATTACCATCTGACACTGACCAAAAGAACACATTTTCTAGCCTGGTTTCCCTTCCCATATGCAAGATTCCTTTGTTTGATTGCCACATGAGAGGCCATTGATGCAATATCACATCACCTTCTATCCTGGTCAATCCAGGGAAGTCGTTGATCCTTTTCTGGTATTGCATCCAGCTTCATGAATGGATCTGACATTGCTTACTTCCCATGTAATCTCTTTGTCAACCAAAAGTGTCTCCTGCTGTCATCCCTGGGAAAGAACACTTCCCAGTGTTTCTCGATGACCTGGTGGAGAACCTGCAGGACGGTAAAGCTGAACCATGGGACTGCTCTTTGTCTGTCTAAAGACATCGTGATGAATGAAGAGTTCAGGGGGAGCGGTAACAATGGGGATCCAAGAAGGTGAGGTTCCAGATGAAAGTGACAAAGGATGGAAGACAACTGATGGGAGGTTTCAGGAGAGACAGAGGCTGAGTCAGCCAGAAATGCTTTGAATGACTTGTGGAGAACTTGTCTTTTATAGCCCACTGGAGCTATAATTTAGTCAGCTGATACCCTGCCCCACAGTATGTTTGCATGTGAGGCACATGCCCTCCACATGCATTTTCAGTTTACAATGTGGGTATTGCAGCCCCTGACAAATGAGCAGAGGCAGCACCCACTTCCAATCCTACCACTGGGAGCAGCACTCCTTCTAATATGTTCAGAGTGCAGTCCTCTACGAGCCTAATTCCCATCTAAACCCTAACCTGAATTATACTAGAACCAGTAACATACTTGGCTGCATCTGCAGCTCACTGGCCTTTAGAAATCCATAATATCAGACACTAAAACGAGTATATTTAGTGCATTCAACCTGCATTAATAATATGCAGAGCAGTGCCCATGGTGACATAATAGGCAAACATGCTTGCTATTGTAAGTAATACTGTTTAAGTCAGGGCTTTTCAGTGCTTGACTCCAACTAAACAAATGGAGTTGCTGTACAAACCCCTTCAAGTTGGATCTTTTTTTTCCTCAAGGGATTTGGGCTCAAAAATTGCAAGAAAGATGTCCAGTTTACAGTCAATAGGACATTCAGCCTCAGGCACACAGAAAGGAGCAAAACAAATGACTATAGTCTTGTTGAAATGCATTTTTCTCAACTGAAGAAGGAATTTTAAAATTCAAATTAGTGCTGAGGGGAAACAAGGGGAAAAGTAGAAATGGCAGCAATAATCTATAGAAATGACGTACACTTTCAGAACAATGTCCAGCAATTAAATCTGATCTTGCTTTTTAAACATTCTCTTCAACTAGAAATCCAGATGATGACGATAAGCCTTGGTGCTTTTTTAAACAACCAAATGGAAAACTGAAATGGGACTTTTGTGCAATCTCTCAGTGCCAGACTGGTGAGTACAGTTAAAATATTTGTGCTGTTGTATATGATTAACCACAGCATCGTCATAGAATATGCTTCGGCTTTTGAAGGATACCATTTTGTTAAAGCTTTCACACTTGTATAAGAGGTGGTATCGCTGGCAAGGATGACATTTGTTGTCCATGAACTGACTGGCTCTCTTGGCCATTTCAGAGAGCAGTTAAGAGTCAACCACATTGCTGTGCGCCTGGAGTCACATGTAAACCAGATCAGGTAAGAATTGCAGATTTCCTTAATACAGAGGACATCAATAAACCAAATTACTTTTTATGATAATGGTTACGTGGACATCATCAGATTTTTATTAAATTCAAATTTCGTCATCTGTCATGACAGGATTTGAACATATATCCCCAGATCATTAGCCTGGATCTGAATTACTAGTGTAAATAGCATCTTTATGTAGGTCTATAATAACTACTGACATTGCCACTACATCACTGATTATATAAGACCACTTCTGCATGTACTGTCTTATTTTCTCATTACAACACAAATAGATGACAGTCATACTAACTAGCAGCATGAAAGTTGCAGGCTTAGGGCAAAATCTTGTAGAGGGTACAATTCCTTGTAGAGGAAATAGATCTGTGTTGTTTCTTTATAGGCAGGTCTACTGAACTACTATCCAATCAGCCAGTGGCAAGGCCACCAATAGACCTTCTCCTGAAATCAAGACCCCAGACGTGGGGGTCTTCAGACAGTAGTGAGCCAATCAAGAGCCTAGTCCTCATGTACATACTGGGGATGTAGCAAGCCATGAGTCTTGTATCTCTGGTTTAAGGTGGAAGGCCCTTGTATAACATCTCTCGTATAACACTTATTTTTCTGTTGTACTTATTCATTGTCCTGCATTGTGACACTTGGCATCACTGCCTAAGAAAGTGAGGGATGCTGGGTTTGTAGTCTTCTACCCTTCAAAAGTTGGCATGGGGTGAAGACATGTACCCGTGTAGAGCTATAGTTGAGTACGCCTAAATGGAAATCTTCATTCTTTCTCAGAGGTATTTATGATGAGGCCTCTGAGCTTTGCCATTGGCTTGAGGGTAACTCAAGCGTGTGACATAAGCAAACCCAAGTGAGGATGCAAAGGATTGGAAACACTCATCAAGAAAATTCTAACATTTAGAATTATTAGAGATAATCAGGTCCAGGATTCCATGCATGGAAAACAATTTCTTGAAAGAGGTTATCCTAGTCCCTGAAATGGACCAGCTGAATTCCCAGGTTTTAAACCAACAGGAATAACAGTTGACTGAAATGACAAAAGCTACTCCTGAAGCTCAAAGGTATCAATGCTAAAGCATTTCCATAGCCAAACTTCAAACCAGGATAATGGAAGAGGCTGTCACATGAATCGTGCAGGTAGCACAGTGAGAGACCATAGCATCAAGGGAACATGAAATACCAGGCCCCAAGCAGATTGATCCAATCTGACCTGACATGTGCAAGTACCTAGATGTCCTTGGTGGATCTTTTGATAGATGTCCATACGGAGAGATTGTAGGATTAGAAAATTTTTATATAGACCAAACGGACATTAATAACATTAATGTGACAGCATTGTTCAAACCACTTCACAGAGCAGATTTATTAAGGATAAATCTCAGCCAGTCATCAAGGCAGAACAATATGGATCTGTGCACATTCTTCATCACATAATTGAACCTAACAAAATTCCTGCAATTTCTTCACTGTGGCTCATAAATAAGTGAACGGTTAATGCCTTAAATACGTTGAGTTCTTGGACAATTGTTTGCCTACTTCACCTGGACCATTGACAGCGTGTCAGCAGTAATCTGGTGTTTCCTCTGTATCCATTCCAGTTACCATGTCATACTGCTTCAGCTGCCTTAACACCCTCTGGATTCTGGGAGGCATCCTCGCAAATTCCATTGCTCCTGATTCTGAAAATCTGGTCATGGGATGCTTGGAATTTCTACCTTCAAAGATTTGGTCTGCAGTCAGTTTTACTTCAAAAGTGAGGAGAAAATGCAGAGATTTTTAAAATTTCCAATATCAAATTTTCAAATTTCAAAACTTTAATGTTTTAAAACATGAAGTTACTTTCTTCCCCCATCGTCCTAACTTTGGTTTGAATACCTTTCTCAAACTCCACTCTTAACTTTCTCAGTTTCAATGAAAGGAACCCCAATTTTTCTTTGGCCCCTCTTCACAGCAAGCAGCACTTATCTCTTACGTCATTTCAAGTGCATCCCTTGCATGGCTTTCCAAAGGTCCTAACATTCTCTGTGAAAGACAACATGAAAATTGAACACTGACGGGTAGAGCTTCTGCACTGGACACAATCAGAAAGAACATCCCAAGGCTAATTGAAATTGAAATTGAAGTTAATTTACAGGCGCAAAGTTATCCACGACCCAACACAGTTCAGTCAACGGCTCCTGAACTTGGGAAAAGCCAATTAAGGAATGCTGGAATACCCTGAAGATGCAGAAAGACGTAAGCACCACAGCAGACCTGTGGAATACTGGTCCAGAAGCCTATGCCACAATGCCAGGCCAAGACCACCTTTCTCCTCCTTCAGGCGCCCAGACCTAGCTGCAGACCTGGAGCCTCAATCTAGCCTGCGAGCCCAGGCTGGGGGAGTCAGCCGGGACCTGTTCCTTGTTTGCTGGAAGACCCCAGGCTGAGGTGGAACCATGCTGGCTTGTCCTGGCATTGCTGCTGCCTCCGCTGCCAGAGGCCTCCTCCTTCACCTGCCACCCTCCAGGCTGACAGGAAAAGAAAGAAAAAGAGCAAAAGTAAAAAGAGGGAAAAAATAGAAAGAAAGCCGACGGGAGCAGACAAGTCCCGAGCTCAGCCGCCTGACACTGCTGCCGTCTTAAGAAAATAGAACTGTACAGCACAGGAACGGGCCCTTCGGCTCATGATGTTTTGCCAAACATGAAGTCAAATGGAACTAATCCCTTCTGCCTGCCATTGGTCCATATCCCTCCATTCCCTGCATATTCATGTGTTAATCTGAAAGTCCTTTAAATGTCCGTATTGTATTTGCCTCCACCACCACTCTCGGCAGTGCATTCCAGACTCCTACCACTCTCTGTGTAAAAAGTTTGTCCCCCATATCTCCTTTGAATGTTCCCCCCTAACCTTAAATGCATGCCCTCTAGCAGTAGACATTTTAACTCTGAGAAATAGATTCTGACTGTCAACCCTATCAATGCGTCTCATAATTTTATAGACTTCTATCAAGTCTCCCCTCAGCCTACGCCGCTCAGGAGAAAACAGCCCAAGTTTTTCTACCCTGTCCTTATAGCTCATACCCTGTAATCCAGGCAGCATTCTGATAAACCTCTTCTGTACCCTCTCCAAAGCCTCCACATCCTTCCTGTAATGTGGCAAATAGCATTGAATGCAATACTCTATATGTGGCCTAACCAAAGTCTTATAAAGCTGCAACACGACATCCTGACTCTTGTACTCAATTCCCTGCCCAATAAGGGCAAGCATGCGACACACCTTCTTTACCACCTTATCTACTTACAAGGCTACTTTCAGGGAGTAGTAATTTCTCAGTAAACCAAAATTTTTATGATATGGGAAATCTTTGAAAACATAAATACCAGTTCCAGTGCAGCTAAGAAAATGAATGCAGTTTGAATAGCCTTTTAGTAACTGGGGATGTGCAGCCATTTTTTTGGGTGGGGCTTAATTCAGACATATCGAACTATAAACCAGCTAAAGTACTAATGTGTGCTTACACTAAAGTTGAGTCTGATGCAACTCAAAACTCAATCATGTGTCTTAGATACAGTGTAACTAACTATGAAGTAATATGAATAAAACTACTTACTGATTAAGAAGGATGAGCCAATTCTGCCTGATACATCCTGTGGTTGTTCTTCTTCACCTGACACCAGAGCCAAGATTAATACCACCAAAAAGGCTTGGTGGGCATGAATCAACACAAAATATCCTGGATTATATATGACGTTAAACAGCTTTAGGTGTAATTCACCTAAATTCTAAATACCCCAATCTATTGCACTGCTTCAGACAATTATCCTGAAATGAATACAAACTTCTCCCCAATATTCTAATCATGATTTTCTCGAGTGGAATTCTTTGAGATGGATGCTGACAGAAATAACACTTCTCATTCCATGTCGTTTCATTTTTCACCATATGGTATGGTATAGGAGCTAAAGCTCTTTAACACTAACTTAAAGTATTTTGCATTCCGTTGTAGAAACTACTGAGGCACCTGAAGCAGAGCCTGACCCTACATCTGTGCTCCCAACTTTTTTTGAAAATTGTGGAAAGGTAGGATTGAGAAGAAATTTAAGCCGCATCTATGGTGGACTGAAGACAGCTCGTGGCAGGCATCCTTGGCAGGCATCTGTGCAACTAAAAGTTCCGCTAAATATTTATGACGCAGGACACCAATGTGGAGGAACCTTGATTGCACCCTGTTGGGTTCTTACAGCAGCTCATTGCTTAGAGGCAAGGTACGTCCTTAGAGATGCACAATAATTGCTTTAGTATAATCTGGAAGAGATAGATTTTGATGGACATAAAATGGATTATGGTTAACCATTAAAATATCAATATTCGGATAAAAAGTGAATTGATAAAGAATTTTATTGAACATTTCCAGTCATTATAGGAGGTTGATCCTTTCCATTACCATGACTTATCAATTTTTACTTCCAAACTGAGGTAAAACCGTTGGATCATCATGAAAACTTCAGCAATTGTGAATGCATAAATGATGGGTTGTTTTAGTTTTCTAGCAATTTTTAAAGTCACTGTTCAATATGATAGTGCAATAAAGTGTAGGAGAACAATTTTGGTCATGCTATGTTAAAGGAAGAAGTAATCATTATCAGATGCGGAATTGTGAAACAAAAAAACATAAAAAATAAATTCAACATGATTATGGTTGATTATCTGCTTCAATACCATACTGCCACTCTCTCCCTGTAATCCCTTGATACCCTTGGCTTCTATAAATGTATCTGTTTATTTCTTAAATGTATTCAGCGACTTCACATCCAAAGACTTCTGTAGTATTGAACTTCACAGGATCATCGCCCTCAGAGTGTAGAAATTTCCCCTTAACTCAGTCTGAAATGGCATATCCTGAGACCATGGTCCCTTGTTCTGGTACCCTCAGCCTGGAGAAAAAATATCCCTACATCCAGACTCTCCAGCCTTGTCAGAATTTTTCATGTTTCAATGAAATCCCTCATTCTTCTAAACTCTAGTAATTACAGATCCAATCTCTTCTCAAATGACAAATCTGTCTTCCCAATAATCAGTGTGGTGAACCTTCGCTATGTCTATGGCAAGTATAATTCTTTTTAGGCAAGAGGGCTAAAACTCCACATAATGCTCCTGCTGTGATTTCATCAAGGCCATGTACAGCTGCATAAATTGTCCTTGCCCTGTACTCAAATCCTCTTGCAATGAAAGCTGACATGTTATTTACCTTCCTAATTTTTTGCTGTATCTGTGTGCTTTCTTTCAATGGCCAATGTACAAGGACACAAAGGTCCCTGTGCATATCAGCATTTCCCAATCTATCACCATTTAAGTAATACTCTGCCATCTGTTTATCGTTCCAAAGTGAATAACTTCACATTTATCCATGTTATACTGCATCTGCTATTAATTTGCCTATGAACTCAACATGTCTGAATTGTCCTGAAGCCTCTTTGGGTCTTCCTCACTACTCATACAGGCCCTCGTTATGACATCAACGATCTCGGAAATATTATATTTGATTGTGTCATCCAAGTCGTTGGTATGTTCTGTGAATAGTTGTGACCCAAGCACTAATCCCGGTGTTATCCTATTTACCACAAGCTTCCACTCCAGAAATAAACAATTTATTACTACTCACTTTTTCCTATCTGCAACAAATTTTCAGTCTTTGCCGCTATGTTACCATTAAATCCCATGTGCTTTGATTTTGCATAATAATCTCCAATGTGGGACTTTATCATAAGCTTTCTGTAAAGCTAAATACACCACATCCACTAATTGTCCCTCATCAAATCTAATTGTTACATTCTTAAAAAAATTCCAGTAGGATTATCAAACTTGGTTTCCCTTTCATAAATCCATGTAAACTTTGTGTAATCCCGCTGGTATTTTTTAGTGTCCTGTTATCACATCCTTTTTATTAGACTCCAGCATTTTTCCTTGTTCACTGTTAATATTTCTCCTATTTCAAAGGTAAGGGTCCTACATTTGTCTTCACTGGTTTTGTTCTTTGTATGTTTTTACAGAAACTTTTGTAAGGTCTTACGTCGCTTGCAAGTTTACTCTCAAACTCTACACCTCTTAATCAACGTCTTGGTCACCCTTTACTGAATTCTAAACTACTCCCAATTCTCAGGCTAGCTACTTTTTCTAGCAACTTTACTTGGCTTCTCTTTGGACCTAATTCTATCCATAATTTATTTTATTAATTATGGTTGGGCCATATTTCCCGAAAGAATGTATAACTGTTGCAATGCATACATTGTTCCTTAAATATTAACCATTGTTATGCACTGTTTTCTGAAAATTGCCACAGTTCTTTCTTTGCTGATTCAATCCATCTAGTTAATGAAGTCTGCATTAATAGACTTGTTGCATTACTTTAAGCCTCTTGTTACATGTACATTTGCAAATGCTAGACTCTTGAATATCTTATCAGCCTTACCAGATAATATTAAATGAGTCTCAGCTCAAAAGCGAACAGTTGACTGGTGTAAGCACAGAATATTAAGTTAATTTTATTCCTTATGTGCTCTCCCTGAAAGCAGGTCATTAGCTCATTGTCTGCTGATGCTTCACAATGAAATGTTTTCTTGGCAATTTTTTTTGTTAATGATTTTGTCAGTGAGCAAAAAGTTGGCAAATGGAGTATAGTGTAAGAAAATGTAAAGCTGTTCATGTTGTAAGAGAGAACAGAGTGTTATTCAAATGGAGAGAACCTGCAGAAAGCTCCAACGCAAAGGGAATTGGGGTTCTTGTGCACAAAACTCTGAAAGCTAGCACACAAGTGCAGCAGGTAATAATTGGGAAGACTAATGAAACATTGGCCCTTATTTCAAGTGGATTACAGTATAAGAGTAGGGAAGTCTTACTGCAACTGTATAAGGTGCTGGTGAGACAACATCTGGAGTACTGGGAGTAGTTTTGGTCCTCTTACTTAAGGAAGAATATCATTTCATTGGAGGCAGTTCAGAGAAGGTTTGCTAGGATGACCCCCAGTATATAGTGATTGTCTTATGAGCAAGACTAAACGGATTAGGACTCTACTCACTTGAGTTTAGAAAAGTGAGGGGTGCTCTCATTGAAACATACAAGATTCTTAAGGGATTTGACAGACTAAATGCTGAGAGGATGTTTCCCCTCGTGGGAGCGTCTAGGACCAGGAGCCATAGTCTCAGAATAAAGGGGCACCAATTTAAGACTGAGATGAGAAGGAATTTCTTCTCTCAGAGGGTTGAGAGTCTTTGGAGCTCCTTGCCACAGGGAGCTGTGGGGGCAGTCTTTGTGTATATTATTGGCTGAAATAGATATATTCTTGATCAGTAGGGAAATCAGGGGCTACAGGAAAAATGTAGAAAGTGGACGTGAGGAATGTTGGATCAGACATGATCCTATTAAATGGTGGAGCAGGCTTGAGGGGCCGAACGGCCTGCTCCTGTTCCTATTTCTTATGGTCTTATGGTTAGTGTTGCCTTCTACTCTCAGAGGCAAAGAATGTAGACAGGTCAAAGTCCAGCTTAATCATAACAGGATTCGAATCTACACCATTGGCCTTGATCTGAACAATACTCCAGCCTGTTGAGCTAACTAGTTATGTATATGGTTATAAAAACCATATTCTACAAAAATAGATAAGAAATAATTTTCAAAAAAGTAATGTGATATGAAATAAAGAATATATAAATGAAATAACATAGATAGTAAGAGTAAACATTGACTTTTTAAAAATATTTCAATAGTATTATTGTTTTAAAATGATCCATTTTACATGCTAAAGGCAATAAGATCTTGTAATTACCTGCCAGTACAATCCAATGTTTTCTTTATGGGTTGCTCTGCATATGACTGTTTAATGGAACTTCATCAGTGTATTGATTTTCTATGAGAATCTAATTACTTTTACCACTCCAATGACTTGTAGCACTCAAGCCAAGCACTATCAAGTACTACTCGGGAAACACAACATAGGTCAAACCGAACTGAATGAACAGAAATTTGATGTTGAGCAAATAATTGTGCATCCAGACTATGAAGAAACAGACAATGCCTTGTTCAATGACATTGGTGAGGAAACTGTTTGCTTAATCAGCTAATGATTTGCAAGTGTAAATCACAGACATTACTGGTTGACTGGTTCCATATCGGGAGGAAAGACTTCAGAAAAAATAATTGGGTTTTCTCTCTCTGTTTAATCCAATGCCAAAGTAACAACGCCAAAGTAATACCGTGTGTAGAAGCTCACATTTTAACGCTGCTCCTCATTTCTTCATTTTGCAAATTTATGTTATATTGCAAATTTGCAATCCTGCTGCCATACTTTGAAAGTCAGGCACTTACTCCCTCTGATTTTCCATCTGAGGCAAACTTAATTCCCAATATGATTGGAAGATGGAGAATATCGTT